GATTTGCCGCCGGGAACCGGCCTCGGTCACGGCGCTGCCCTTGACAGACTTCTGCCCCCGGCAGCAAACAGGGCACCGTCTCCCGCCCCGGCAACGTCCGCCGCCTCAGGAACTAGCATTTGTAAGCAGTCGGGGGTTGATGAAAGACGTGACAGTAAGGCTCTGGTAAAAAGTGTTGTTCTTCACCTGAACTTACAGAGCAGATCCCAGACCTCGTTTACGCTTTTTAGAAAATATCCCTCACGAGGAGTTGCGGCTTTTTTACCTCACGGAAGCTGTAAACTCCGTATCCTCGGCTGAGCGTACCCCTAAGCTAGTCACTGCCTCAGGGGGAGCTGCGGAACAACCCTGCGGGGGTTGGGTTTAGGCTTTATTGAGAAAATAATAGCGAGGTTATAAATTATTGCTTCCTGCTTGTATTCATATTCTTAAATAATCGTTTCCAGCCCTAGCAGAAGGCGTTTAATTTGTATTTAGTCACCTAGGCGTCCCACAAGCAACTATGAACTTAGCTTACGCTACTTTGACTGTTAAAAGATGCTTCACTTTTGCTACTCTCTCTGTGTATGGTCCCCTTCATACACACTTTCACTGTTCAATGTCATAAAGCTGCAAGTTTAAAAGGGTAGATATTTGGATAATTTGACAACTATACATTATTTTCTGCCACATACTGGGAGCTATGGCAGCATAATGATACACAGGAAAGTGTATCAATCCATCTCTTTGGTATTCCAGCCTGAGTAGTAAAGGTTAGGTCCATCCTAGACTGTTTAATTAGCAATGGGGTAGTTTTGGCCTTCAGCTGCATGACTAATGGATAAAAAAAAAAAAAATTTAAAAAAATCACTTTTTCACACTGACTTTTAAGTAAGTCAGGGTCAGATCCAACCTTTTTGGTGAACTGGAGATAACAAGGAAAACTCCATGACATTCCCTTTACCATAATAGTCATCAATAGTAAAAAGTGAGCATCAGCAGCTACACGTTACAGTTATTTCCCATTCTCAATAGACAGCAAAGCACTGGTAAAATTGGAGTTACTGTTGAACTAGAGGCATCAGACGGAACAGGTACAATGAAAATTTCAGGATAATAAAAGGAAAGTAGGGGTGGGCTGGTACAATCTGTATTCAGCACTAGCGGGTAAGAAATAAAATGCAATTTGCACACATGCTGTAAGTGCCATTGCTAAGAAACACAAGTGGCCTTTCACTAAGTGTTTGAAACATTCAGGGTAACCACAGTAACAGGGAGTGCATGTAAACACCATATTATTTTATTGGAACAAAAGCAAATGTTTCCTTCTTTCCTCTTCTGTGATTGTCAGGAAGAGAATCAGTAACATCAGGAAGAAAAGGAGAAATAAGAGGCCTTCAAATATACAACAGATTCCTGAACTTCCATTCAAAATTCATCCACTCCCCTCTGGTTGGAACGGGAAGTGGAAGTGCCCAACTGACAGTGAAGAAGGCAAATCTCTGCTGGGGTTTTCCATCAGACGAACATAAACATCCTTAGTACCAGCAACATCCACTAAGGTAAGTTAGCTATTGATTTAAATTAATACCATATAATAACAATGCAGCATCTTTAAGTGAATCAACTCTGTCTTTCTGGATTTTGGAAAACAAATGTGGAGAACATGCCCTTTAGCAGACATTTTCCATTAGCACAATGTACAACTGAGACAAGCGAGACACAGTCTTGCTTGGTCTAAGCTCCCCTGCTGTTGCAGTTATAGCATTGTTTGCCCAGAACCTCAGAAATGCATTTCTAGTTTCCCCTATTAAAAGCACACCTTTCAAATCAAATTTAAAAAAAAGCATCAGAAATGGCCAAACATTAAATGAACAAGCAGAAAAGCGACTCAAGTGAAGGAACAAGCCTATCCTTGTAGCTTTTTTATTGTTCCACAGCACTGGACACATTTAAAAGATCAGTGAACTCATGAAGTTAAAATAACTTTTTGCAAACAGTGGGTGGAAGGTGGGTAACGCACTAGTTGAGCTCAAAGGAGGCTGGCTTTATACTTCATTCTGCAATATTCACTGCATTTCCAGATGTTTTACACCCAGCGAGCTTGATTCCCACAGTAAAGGGATTATGTAGGCAAGTCCAACCACTCCCTGATGGCATGGCCAGTGATAACAGATCACAGCTCCTGGAGAGGCAGCACCAGAGCGTACAGGAATAACAACAGTGGCATGGATACCAAACTTGTGTCCTCTCTATTCAAGATACCACGCACCAGAAGACATTTCTTATTTCAGGTACACCAAGTTACCCTTACGCGTCAAAAATGCCAAAAGGAGGGAAAAGGCACCATGCCAACTTTATTCAAAGTCCTTAAAATACAGCTGAGGATCTTGGAGAGCAATAACAATTAAACAATCCCCGAACATCCTGATGAAGTAGGTATTACTCCTCTCTGAGAAAATTAAGTCAGAGATTTTAAAGTTAATTGTCACAAGTTATACAGCAAGTAGATGCAAAACAAGAAGCTGAACACTAATTTGGATCCCACTAACAAGGAGATTAGCCATCTGCTTCGAGTTAGACATGCTTTCAATACCTTGCTGAATTAGACCTTATGTGGCCATCCAAAACACTGGACCAGTCCACATACCCAATGCTAGATAAATAAAAAACATGTAGAATAAGAACTGAGTCAATTCGCATTATAAAATTACAAGTTTATTGCGAAGTAAAATGAGTATTTCCCCTCAACAGCACATGCCAGAACTGTTAAAATTTTATACTTTCAATATGATTCAAAAATCATATCCAAATTATTAGAACCAAACTTAATATTTGTATGCGTACTCACTTTCACAAAAGACTACCCTGCATTTATTTATGATTGATGGGCTTATCCAAATATTTTCAATTAAAGTCAATTAACTCAAGTAGTTAAGAAAATCCTTAATAAATGATTACTTAGCCAAACTATGGTTTAAGTATATTGGGAACAAAACAGGGAGTCAATCAAAAAAAGGACTTGATTACAAATACCATTTACAACGGTCATCTCAACAATTGTTTGGGTCATCTCTGCTCATCATCACAGTATACTCCAGTTTTGAACATTCTGCTTAGCAAAATTGATTACCACAGTTAAACAAGACAGTAAGTCAGTCCACGTCTTCAACTAGAGAAATTCCTTCCTTTCTTTCTAGCTTGGATACCTGCAAGTTAAAAGGAAATGATTCAATAGTAAAAATAAGTTTGCATTTAATGTCTCCTGTCTTTTCAGACTCCCATCACAAAACAGTGTAGAGCCCAGATTTATCAGGAACTGACAGCAGGATACGCTCTAGGGGACAACTGAGCTGAACAGGATGTTAGCTGCAGTCGAAAGAGAAGGTCAAACTTTCTTCCCACCCACCCCCTTAACCTCCCCCCGGCTGCATGCTCCCATCAGTTCCTAGTTTTTTTTGTCAGTTGGGTGACTTCATTTGGCTGACCAAGGAGTGAGACAAGCACCAAAGCCATCTCAAAAGCCAGGAGAGACAGGAAGGGAGACAACACTGTCCCTTTCAGTGACAGCTGTCAGAACAGATCAGGCCATAACCTGGAACCCTGCCCGTAACAGAGAGCCTAGAATAATTAAAACAAACACAGGGAATGCTTTTCATGCACACATACACAAGTTTATAAAACTGACCTTCACTGTTCTTAAAACTTAAGAAAAGGAATTACCTTATATTAAGTTAAGCTGTTGTTAAGACTAACAATATAAATAGTTTCAGAAAGGATTCTACAAACTCATGGAGGATAGACCAAGAGCATGAACTAAACACAATGTCCTGCACATTATCTCTAACTCTGGAAAATGCAGTTCTACATTCCCCAAATCTATGGGGATATATAGGGACGGCCGTATTATAAATTCCCTGTTCTTATGTTCTTCCTTCAACATCTGCTACTGGTCGCGAAAGAGACGCACAAGGATACTCAGGTTGATAAATCTTTTGGTTTGACCAAACGCAGCTAATCTTGTGGTACAACCAGTAAGCACTGGAAAAAGCAGAAGACGGACTGCAGATACCTAATCCTTGGGGGTAGGTGTGCCAGCTTTCTTCTGAGCTATGTCACAGTTCCTTCAAATTATGCCAGCTATTAAAATCCCAATGAACATTTTGGCACCTAGAAATTGTTAAAGTGCATGCTCTGACCACACATCCTTTACCTCAGATGTAACTCAAAGGCAGAAGCTACAGACAGTGTTACTGGAGTTCCTAGGTTTGCTACAAACCACTAGAAATTTCATCACCCAGGTAGAACCTTTCAGCTAAGTAGAGCTGAGCGACATTAAGACTCCAAGGGCAAATCTGGAAATTGCCAGCAAACGCTATGATCTCAGCCTCCTCTTACCCGTTCCTTCTGCAGCAAATACAGAAGGAATTTTGCATTTAAAAAGAGTGGATAACTAAATTGCCTTGACTACACTACAAACATCCAAAGTAGAAAAGTACTTTCCACAAATCCAACAGATTTCTCTATCGTTAGCACTCAAAACCATTTCCCTTCACAAGTGAGCTCAAGCTGGAACATTACTCTTCTACAGGAAAACCTGGCATTACCTAACTAAAGGTGTTTTCTGGCAAAACTGTATCATTTAGAGTTCATGCCATATTTTCACAGTCCTGTTACTATGCCAGAAAAACCTTAAGTGCAGATGAAGTCCCAGGAGTATAATTATCAGTGAGACATTGTCCTAGAGAGCGATTCTCTTCAGAATTACAATTGTGCTGAATATGCACAGTAAGTGGAAACTCTTACAGTATTCCCTTTCTTGTATAGGACAGATTTGACTCGCATTATTGCAAGTCATTATTTTCCAGTCTTGCAAAAAGCTATCCGTAACAATGAGTTATCAGCCGTTCAGGTGACCGTTGAACTTGATCAGTTCAGTTTACTGTTGCCTATGTAACAAATTCTTCCCCAAACTTTACTCCCGGTTTTCAGGAATAAGTTTCAAGGGCCAGTACCCTTGCATAGCACAGCTGCTGTTACATACAAATCTAGTTAAAGAGTGCAACAATATCCTGGATCATGAAAAGATCTTAATCACATTTACTGTAAGCATAAAATAATTACATTTTGGTCCAGACCCTACAAAAATATTTTACCCAACTCCCACTGAGTCCAAAAGAACTTTTGTCCTGGACTTGAGCAGGAAAAAGTCCAAAATTATGGGGAAAAAAAAACCAAAAAACCCCACCATACAGACCTACAAATAAGTGCTGCACATGGTAGCTTTTATCCTAGGTTTCAAGGTAATAAAACACTATTACAGCATGTCTGGCATTTCACAGAGGAGGGAATTAATATTTTATTACATATATAAACATATTCTTAAAAGCAACTCAGGTATAAAATCTCTGGCAGAAAAAACTTCAAGGTGCTAAAATTCTTCAGCCCAGCACCTTTGCCATAAAAAAATGCATTAAAATAATGTCAAAGGTGTGACTAAAAACTACAAAAAGTTAAGCATGGTTCTGATAGTTGCTTGAGCCCCTTCACACCTCACAGTGTTCAAACTAAGCACTGTACCATTACTGTTGCTGTATTTGAGGAAACACGTATCTGTGAGTCAACTGACTTCAGGTTCAAAAAGGGTATTGTTGTAGAAGCAGGTGGGAGAAGCATTCACAGTTAATTGCTGCCTCTTACTGGGTTTTCCCACACAGATGTGGGTCAAGTCTTAATCCTGCAATTAAACAGATCCTTTCAGACAGGTCCTGAACTGAAACCAAAACACATAAGCTTGTTCTCCGCATTAGCACAAGACTTCATGAGTACAGGTACACCTATTAGTTGCTGGCCTCAGTACATATATTCTCTTTTTTTCTTGTTTTTTTTTCCCCCTTCTTCTTGCTTTCCTAGCAATATGACAAGCTGTACTTAACAATGAAAAAAAAAAAACCCAGCCTAGACTGAAACCAGAGAATTCTTAGCCTCACAGTTACGTGAAAAGAGCAATCACAGTTATTTCTGTATTAAACTATTATCCTAAATGCTAGTAAAAAAAAAAAAAAAACAGCCTAGACTGAAAACAGAGAATTCTTAGCCTCACAGTTATGTGAAAAGAGCAATCACAGTTATTTCTGTATTAAACTATTATCCTAAATGCTAGTTGTCTGTTGCTGGAGATTCACTGGAACTAAGCTTGTCCCACTGTGAGGACTTTAAATATAAAACCGTACAAGAAGTAGAGGGCATTTACCTGTTCATCTATACACCTAAATTGCCAGGACCATGTGGTGTTATAAAGGAAAGGCCTCAGATCAAATCGGTTGTCATCTGGACTGTAGTTTTCAGCATGGTAGGAAGGAGTGAGGGTGGTCATTTTATGTCTGTTAACTGAATACATCCTGAAGAAATGCTTAACCTTTGATGCCACCTGGTGTACAAAGAATATAGCTTTGAATCAGATGAAGTTTCTTAGTATTTAAAAAATTTAGAGGAGAACAGTATTTTGGAGACTGTGTTCTAGCTTTACACATTCATTTTCTGCCATTAACATTTACATAAATTATCTGCCACTACTAGTATGAATCACTGTGGATGACCCTACTGTAAGAGGCATTTAAGACCATTTTCAGGCACCGCCTTGGTCTCTGCACCTGTCATTTACCAATAAGGAAGTGCCTTGTAAGAAATCTAACAGTAAGCACCAGCCTCTGCAATTCAGGTGACAATTTGAACTTTTTCCTTTATGCACAAGGAAGGAAGAACTGCGTAACAGCAAAGCAGATACCTCTTCAGCGTAGACAGTCTTCCAAAGCAAGAGCCATTTTCTGTCTCAGAATACATAACCAAAGGCTTCAAGAGTAGTTAGCCATTTATATTTCAGAGAGTAATTTTCCCCTGAAGGTACAGTTCCAAAGTAATTGTTTTCAAATTACCCAATTACTGTTCTAACAATTTGCAACACAGACAACAAGCTCCATTAATTTAAGAGATGCATACCAGTTTTTCCAGCATGTTCTGCTACAGCTGTAGAATAGTCTCTAAATGCAGTATAATTAAACTACCCCTTTCAGTTAAAAGGAACTCTAATCGACCTTTCTCCAAAACATGCTCTATTTTGGCAAAGACATTACATGATTTGATTTTTTTTTTGTACATTACCTCTCTTGGAGTACAGATTTCCTTCCACATATTAATCAGCTTACAGAACATACTGTATGGTCCAGCCTTTGCAATTTTTCTTAATTTGCCATAGATTGAGAGCTCTGCATATGTCATCCCCATATCTGCCTGAAATCACACACACAGAAAGTCACTGAAAATCTTAACTACGCAAATTGTAATTAATAGTTTTATGGAGCAATTACAATAACCCAGTTTAATCAAGGAAACACCAAAATGAAATTGCCAATGATCAAAAAGACAAAGAGAGAGTAATATTATGAGCGGAAGAAAAAAACCTGGAATCTCTCTGAAATGGGAGATTTTAAATTCTTCCATGAATATATTTGATTTGGGCAGTGAAAACATTTCTTTCCTGAGAAAGATTTGTTTATTTTCCCTTCTAGGTAGCTTAAATGTAGTATCTATCAGTAAGGTAAGGCCAAGTTAAGAAAACCACTAATTCTAATTCAGCAATCCTTTGCTTTATCTTAAAGGGTTTTACAATATCCTACAGTTAAATACCCAACAGCCTGTAGAGGTAGCTGTTAGGCTTACCAGTCCTCTTTTATCCAAATGGATAGCAAAGAGAAGGCCGGGGGGAGAAGAGGAAGGGCTTTGCCACCAGTCATTTTAATAGCAGTAAGGCCCTGCCCGACTCTCTTTTGATATTAAAAAAACCTTTAAAACAAACTGAATTTCAGAACACCCATCCTTCTGAGTGCCCAAAATATAAAATCATTGAAAAAAGTTAATTGCTGTTTTGGAAACTGTTGTCAACATAGATAAGGCTGGTGTGGGATACTAATACCTTGTCAGTGGCTTTAAGATTGTTTACAACGTGCTTGTCAATAAGCAGGGATACAAACAAGAGCAAATAGTTATTGGACAAAAAACAAATTTTGGGATAAG